GATGACAGCCTTGTAATTAATGGTAATTTTATTTTAAACCTATAATCTTGATATTTCAATCACCACTTGAGTAAACAGTGATGATTAAAACTGGAGCATAAAGTGTCCCTAGGAAATAGCTGGTACACAGCACATAAAGAATTATTTCCACTGCTAATTCTGAATTCTACGTATTTATTGCCATATTCAATTCAGTTTAAAGAAAACCAAACCTCTAAAAAGGATTTTTCAATAAATCTTTACAAACATTGCAATTACTACACACAACATTTCCCCCTTTTCCCTAGAAATCTGGAAACTACCCCCATTATCCCTTAATAATTGTTTTGTACTACTGTAAGCTCTTTGAAGCTGTTTGATTGAGGTAATGGCTGCTGACAGAACTGACTGTTAAGGCAATATTTTGGTGGAAGCGAGATATACAACATCTCATACAAAGCCATCTGTTTCAGTCAAGTTAGTCAGAGAAAAGACGCCACCTCCAAATTATGTCCCCCATTCCTGAATGATTTATTTATAAAAGCACTTTGCAGCCTTGACACATCCCTGATCCACCAGGATATTTTCTCTCATTTAAGATGTGACAGCTCTCACTTCAGCTTTGCCAGGTTCCTCCAATCAACAAGTAATCCCTCTCTCCATAACTTCTTAGTTGCTCCCTGCAATTAACATTATTTTAATTAACTTCCCATTTGGGTAGAGGAGGGGAACAGGTGGAAACACTGGGCACCATCAATTACGATTGAATTCCTTAATGAATGTCTGCTTAAGTTTTCTTTGGTGTGTGTCCTGTAATCACATTAAAAAAATCAAAAGGAGTCACACCTGCACCACTCTGTTCCCGAGACCACACAAATGGTATGCGTGCTCACATCCCTCCAAAACACTGGCCAGGGACACCTCTAATTAAAAACTAAGTATCACACCATGGCAACATTAGAGACAGAAGGCTCCAGTCCTGCAAAAGCTTCACTATCTGAAGATTTCCTTCTCAATGCTTCCTAACCAAAAATACAGGCATACTTACTCCTTCTCCCTGTTAGTTTGCCATAGTATTTGTTATCTTAATACCTTAAATAATCTTAATTTACATTCTGGGGTAAATACTTAATACACAATGAGTGGGATTTATTTTAAATTAAGGCAAATGGGTACACTTGGAGTACTGGGGCCCCCAGTATAAGGCCATGGAGCTGTTGGAGTGGGTCCAGAGGTGGCCACAAAGATGATCAGGGGCTGACGTACCTCCCCTACGAGGGCCAACAGTTGGGGCTGTTCAGCCTGGAGAAGAGAAGGCTCTGGGGGAACCTTATTGCAGCCTTCCAGTTCCTGAAGGGGTCCTACAGGAAAGCTGGGGAGGGACTTTTTACAAGGGCAGGGAGTGATAGAATGAGGGGGAATGGTTTTAAAATGGAAGAGTGGGTGCCCCCTCCCTGGCAGTGTTCAAGGGCAAGTTGGACGGGGCTTGGAGCAGCCTGGGCTGGTGGAGGTGTCCCTGCCCATGGCAGGGGTTGCACTGGGGGGGCTTTAAGGTCCCTTCCGACCCAAACCATTCTGTGATTCTATGTCTAGGTTCTTACTTTGCTAAAGGCAACTTTAGAGCTCATCCTGAAATAGGGACCTAGTACCTGGTCAGCATTCTTTAGGTTCCTTGGATTGTAGGTACATGATCTTCATTTACTATAATGGCAGTGTAGTTACAAAGATGTGGACACTAAATTGGTACATCTAGGTCTCAAACGATCTCACCATCATGTCTGTTCCAAGTTACTTTAAAGGACAAAATGGAAACCAAAAATCCTGAGACAGACAATGGAATTCATTGCTTATGGGAAGTCTTGTGAAGACTGCCTGGGGATATTTTGGTTGAATGAGGAAACCAACGAGATGATGCATGGAACAAAGCAGAATGATGAATACAGACAAAATGTAATTCAATCCGATTTGCTCTTTGTGCTGGGGACATGCTGTTTCTAAATTCTTCACTCATTTGCTGGTTTATTTTTAAAACAAATTTGCAAGTGTCTAAAGAGTGCCTAAGAGAGTGAAGCAAACCAACCTATTTAGTCTAGTGCACAGGAAAGAATAAAAAATGTGTGTAGTCATTAATCTGCAATATATCTTCATGCATCAAGAGAAACAATGTGCTTTTCTCTCGTATTTTCTAGAAAGTTGTTTTAATCTGCCTTTTTAACAGTTTTTAAAAGTCTTATACTCAGGAATAGGCAAGAACTTTTATGGATGAGCAAAAACTTTTTCAAATGCTTTGGAGCATTTATTGTCCATATCACAAAAAAAAGAATAATCACAAAGGCCTCTGAGAAGTACTCTTCAAAATATAAGAAGATAAACTAATATTAAAAACTGCATAAAACCAGAAGAATATTACAGTGTACTGAAATGGTGTAGGAAGGACGGAAGATGTTTTGAACTTACCCTATTGACACTGCTGTTTCTTAAAATAACCTGCATTAGATTTTTCTTAAATTCTTCCAGCTTCTTGAAACACTTCTTCAAAACATGATTAGCTAATTCAGTGTCAGTTATTAAACTGATCAAAACACGAACTGCTTCAGTAAGAAAACTCGAAACTGGAACTTTAGGACTGTTGTAAAAAACTGTCAGTCCGTCAAGCAACTGAGACACAGAATTGCAGATGGTGAAGGAATCGTTCTCAAGCTCGGTGAAGTCTGCTTGAAGGATTCCTCCCTCCGACAGTTTCCTGATTTCAAGCAGATGCTGCAAAAACTGCACTGGAGCAGCCAGAGATTCCTCCTGGCCACTGCAGCAAAGATTCAATGGGGGAATTCTTTCCAACCAGCGTTTTGAAGTGTTGACGTTATGCTCAGATTGGTGAGAGTCAGAAGCCGTGCCCAAAGAATCGAACGTGTAGTCATTAGAGACATCGCATCCAGAGTCTTCTAGCTGGCTTGAGTAACTCGTGGGGTTTATCCTGTCCTGATCCAGAAGAGTTTCAGCAGAGGTGTCTGGTTTCCCTGAAACACAAATGTGAAAGTTACACTTCACAGAATCACAGAATATCAGGAGTTGGAAGGGACCTCGAAAGCTCACCCAGTCCAACCCCTGCCAGAGCAGGATCACCCAGAGGAGGTCACACAGGAACACGGCCAGGGGTTTTGAATGTCTCCACAGAAGGAGACTCCACAACCTCTCTGGGCAGCCTGTTCAGGGCTCTGGCACCCTCACAGTGAAAAAGTTAGCTGTGGAAGAAGCTGACATCTTTAAATTCAAGCCAAAACTTTCAGAAGGCAGTGTCTAATTGTGAACAAGATGTTTTATGCTCACAGTAATACGAACAGTAATTTTGAGTTTAAAAATTCCTTATGTTCTTAAATTTTCACATACATAATTTAAGCAGACATCACAGCACAATTTAGGTGGACATCAGTACTTCCAGAAATTCCCAGGAAAGGAAGTGCACGTAAGTTTCTGTTCCTCCAAAACATTTTCACCACTTCTATTCTCAAGAACTCAGACTGCTTTTAAAAGACAGTTACAGTCTGTCACCATAACCACATCGAATAAGATCTTCTTTACGTGTACTCTTTCTTCCCAGGTCAGGTAAGGAATTCTAACAAAGTCAAAGTTGAACGGGCTGTTACAATTGAGGTTTTGTATTATTGAACAAAGAAAAACATTCAGAATAAGCAATGTCTCCAGTCACCCCTCTCATACCATCTTCTTCAAAAACACACAAACCACATTACAGAAGGTGTGCATTGCATTCACGCTACTAAATTATTTTTGTGCACCCTTGTAGGATCTCTTTCATCCTGTTTCATACATCAGGAACATCTAAGTCAGTGCCTCTGGGCATAAACTCAGTACTAGGTGACAACAGACTCCCTCTGCGCTATGTGCCACCTATACCAAAAGAATACAGTCAAAACAAGCAAGAGACATTAGAGCACTGAAGTGGAACAGCAACACACAATACATGGCTAGAAACCCCATCTGACCAGCTCCTGGCTGTGTCCCCACAAACTGCTTCTCCTCTCACGCTTAAAAAACACGCCTATACTGTTCATACTTTCCACCAGGATCCAAAGCAATACCATAGTCCTCTGTGTTTGTATCCTTAAATGATTAAAAATTATTTTATAGATGGTTTGGCTTGCTGTGAAATAAATGTCATAGATCATGGCCTGCTGAAAAAAGTATTTTTAACACAGAAAACATCACTAGGCAGCAGTCTACAGAATTCTGTACACTAACAAAAGACTACTCAACGAAGTTTATACAGACTTCATTAAATATACAATTTCAAATTGAATTCTGACCATTACTTTAGTTTCTGAAAACATATCAGATCATCCAATGAGGGTACCACTACCGAGACCAAA